CTGAAGAAGTATTCTTCATAAAAGTTGTTCCCAACATCTTTAAGTATAACATACTTTAATTTGGGAATTTTTGGAAATCATTTGAGGCCATTCGGAAGTCCATCTTTGGACCGAAACAAAACTGCCCGATTTACTGTTCACCCGACCTTCTGGTCTGTTCGAATTTTTATAAATTTTTCCAGGCCTATTTTCAAAATACTTCCTTCATAAAAATTGTTGGGGACATTTGTGGCTATAACATATAAAAATTTCAAGACTTTCCAAAATGATTTGGATACTGAATAAGTTATATTTTGATGGCCTGAGGGGCTGTCCGAGCGAATCGGATTTTGTCCGACTTTGAGTGTCAAAACGAGGTGTTTACGGTTAGAACTGGGTTTCTAGTTCGTCACGGAAGATGTTCATCGAGATGTTTTGTACAACATATCCAAATTTCATAATTTTTGGAATTTATTTACCATTTATTTCAAATGGATTTCTGTCACTGTGCAACTGCCCAGTTTGAACCCGATTTTGTATATTTCCGGTTTTTCTCTCTCTCGGACTGATTAGTGGCTGTCCTCTTTGGATCCGAATTTGATTAAAATGGACTAAGTTGAGGTTAATCGGATTCTTGCCATGAATGGTCCGAATTAAGCGATTCAGTGGCAATTTGGTACTTGATTGGGTTCCATTGTGTGGTGACACGTGTGTATATTTGTTTGCCAAGATTGATATGATATTAGTGGGTCTTGATTGCGCAAGTTTTTGTGTGCACCAATGTTGTGAATTGGGTGCTGTGCTGAATTATGTTTAATTGAAATTGGGCATGCCAATGAAATGCTGATTGATTATGTTATGGCACAATTGAATATATTGGTATTATGGAAGTGCATGCCCGTATTTGAAATTGGTGCTCATTATGCATCGTGTGATTACCCGAGTGCGGGAATTTGCATGGCTACGCATTTTGTGTGCAGAGAATGAGCATGTGTGATCACCCTAAATGCCCAAATGCGTTTACGCGGGGCTCAGATAAAATTGGCAGTGTGCCGTGTGATCACTTAAGGCCTTCGGGTCGTGGCCTTCGGGTCGTGCCGTCCTGATGCGTTTATGCGGGACGATGCCCGGTTCGTCCGGATGATTAAGAAGATCGGTGTTGCGCCTGAGGCGTTTTACGCGGGCTAGAGACACTGGGCCATATGTGCTTCTGCGCGGGCCGCGGAGTGTTGCGGGCCTTCGGGTCGTGACCTTCGGGTCGGAATATTTATTGGCCTTCAGGTCGTGGCCTTCGGGTCAATTTATAAAATTGCTAAAATGAGCCGCATGCCAGAGTGCATTGTTTGAGGCAGTTCATGAGCATGAGCATGTGTGTGGCGTACGTGTGACCAGTGTGTCGCGCATGTGCCGTGTTTTATACAAAATACCTAACCTGCAGGGTCAACAAGGTAAGCGATCCGGGCTCAAGGGCCTAAGTCATTTGATTGACATTTTTGTCCGTTGTTGTGTTGATTTGCTTGTCGGGAGGTGCATGTTAGCCTAGTTTCGGTTTAGGAGGCCTACTCACTGAGATTCGTCTCATAGTTGTTTAAACCCCGTTTTTCAGACTCCTGATAGAGGTTGCCTGGTGTATCCGATCCATATGAGAATCCGGAGCCCATAAAGCAGGAACCCGAACAGGTTGGCGAGGTCGAGCAGATGGATTCGGAGGATGAGATAATCGAGGCTGAGTCCGAGTCATCAGGATCTGATCCCGATTAAGTTTCCTAGGATCAACCTTAGCCTCTTTTAGGTCGGGCCAGTAACCCTTTTTAATTATAGCCCCACCTTAGACTGCTCCCTTGGCCACTTAGGGATTTTGTTAGTAGTGGCCGTCGACCCGCTTTTGTTTGGTGATTTGTATTGGTGTATAGTGGACATTGTATATGTTTTGAAGTTCAATACAAGTCTTGATTATTAGGCTTTGACTTGTTCGACGTTCCTGCTACCCTTGGTCATGTATTGTTTTGTACGGGTGTTTTAATTATCGCTTCCGCATGTGCCTTATGCTCTGTGTTGGGAGTTGGGTCGACTACGCTTCCTGGGACGTCGCAAACAAATCGACCTTTGCGTGGGATGTTCGTGTTTCGTGGGGTACGGGGCGTGACATATCCCGTCCCGTGAATACTGACCTTGACATCCTTCGTGCCGAGTTGCTGCTAAACCAGCGTACAAAGAGCATCATTGACGATCTCCAGCGTGCACCTGACTCCCAGCCCCGGGTGGTCTTACTCATCAGGTTTGCTCCGTCACCGTGGCCGCTTGTTCTTGCCGGCGGACTCCTCCCTTGTGCCCTTCCTTTTGTCAGATTATCACTCCAGCTTACATGGTGGCCACTCTGGGGTACAAAGGACCTTACAACGCATCTCTGCGCATTTTCAGTGGGACGGCATGCGCAAGGACATAGCCAAGTTCGTCCAAGCATGCAATGTTTGCCAAAAGGGCAAACCCACCAACCATCACCCCTACGGGTTACTTCAACCCATTGCTCTACCCGACTCATTATGGACCGATCTCTCTATGGATTTCATCACACATTTACCACTATCTGCTGGGTATACGGCCATATTAGTGGTCGTTGATTGTTTTTCCAAGGGGGCCCACCTCGCTTCTTTGCCACCACGTTACTCTGCCACCAAGGTGGCCCAAGTTTTCTGGACTACAGTGGGAAAGCTACACGGCATACCTCACTCCATTATTTCCAACCGTGACCCCATTTTTCAGAGTGCCTTTTGGAAGGAGTTGTTTAAACTCCAGGGAACAAAGCTGCATTTCTCATCCGCTTACCACCCGCAATCGAACGGACAAATGGAGCGTGTCAATCGCTGCACTGAACAGTTCCTTCGTTCATTTGTTCATGATCAACCCTCCAAGTGGTCCAAGATACTTAGTTGGGCGGAGTACCACTACAACACCACGTTCCAGGCTTCTACGGGTATGACGCCCTTCGAGGTGACATTCGGTAGAAAACCTCCCTCTCTCTTGGCCTATTGTGTAGGCACTAGTGCTGTCGAAGCAGTCGATCATGACTTGCGCTCACGTGATATAATCTTGTCTCAGTCACGTGCCAATTTATCCAAAGCTCAGGCGGTCATGAAAACCCAAGTAGATAAGCACCGCACTGATATTTCTTTCAAACCAGGCGACATGGTGCTTCTTCGTCTTCATCCTTATCGCCAGCTGTCGGCTCGCAAAGACTCCGCCCACAAGCTTGGACTTCGCTACTATGGTCCGTTCCCTGTGGAGGAACGCGTGGGACAAGTGGCTTATCGACTTTCCTTGCCAGCTTCTAGTCGCATACACCCAGTTTTTCATTGTTCACTACTCAAACCGTATATGGCTTCACACTCCACTAGAGTGCACCCACTCCCAGAGGCAGTTGTTGATCACCAACCCATTCACAAGCCACTAGCAATTTTGGGTCAACGAGTTATTATGAAGGATTCTAAGCCGGTCTCACAAGTGTTAGTTCAGTGGCAGGACCTCGCGCCCGACAACTCCAGTTGGGAGGATGAGCACCTCTTGGATAATATTCAACTTGAGGACAAGTCGTCTCTCTATGGGGGAAGGAATGTTACGTCCCAAGGATTGCAAGTATATTCACGGCGCAAGACCATGCCTAAACAAGGCTAAGGAGAATCGCATTCCATTTATGACGGGGATAGTAATCAACATTAATAAGGATAGCCATCAATTAGTTTCTATCTATAAGGATAGCCATTAATTAGTTTCCATTTATAATTGATATTCATATGTGTACTCGGCTATTTAAAGGGCCATTAGATTACACTAAAGAGTAAGCTATTACAATTCTGTTCCTACCTCTCTTCCTTCTTTTCCCTCCTCTCTCCTCAATTCCTACTAAATCAACTATTCTCTTAACAGTATCCATTACATTCGCACCAAGCGTCTGACCAATCAGTCGATCCTGTTTTCATTCATAAGCTATAGTTCTGGTGAAGAACCAAAATCAAAAGGAGCAGTCCGAGTAATCGATGGCCAGGATAATCGATCCATAGAACCGATTATGGGATCAAACGGATCCTGTTTCCCGAGTAAAAAGGACGTGATGATGAAAAGACTACATAACATGTGACCTTACGTGCATGTGACCTTACGTGCCGTGAATTGAATTTGACTAAATGAAGAACAATTCAATCAGGTAATGTTGTGGCTGCAAAACCCACCACTCATAAAGCATATCTAACTCTTGACAGCCACATTCCAAATCTTCAAGCCCCTCACTCAATTTGAATTATTCAAAGGCTATGAAAGCAGAGAATGATCTCTGTCTTCCTCATGGTGGTTGACTTATCAGTGCCCATTATTCCATTTTTATATGTCCATTTGATAAAATAACAATTACCCGTACCTCGAATTAAAATCCGATCTCCCCAAGCAGTTACCTAAACACATTCTATTTTTATGAGCGCATACCCTCACCTTTGAAATTCATATCCATGTTCTCTACTAAATCATCTCAAATCGACCTCGTGCATAGCGCATAAGAAAAAACTAGTCATTGCTAAACAAAAAGGAAGCGTGACCCCTTTTGGTTTAACCACTCCCCTCTTGTATCTCTAAAATAATCTCGATTTCGTGTTTTAGATATACAACATTTTAATGTCAAAGAAGAATTATTATCGCAATCATATATAGTCATATAACTACCAAAAATTTCCACCACTTCAATTTCTCTCTTTTCATTATTATTTTTATATGAATTAATTAATTGAGAAAATAACCAAATAGTCTTAAAATTTGGCCCAACATGCAGTGTGGTCCCTGAATTTTTTATTTGTTTAATATGGTCACTGAACTTTAATCAAACGTACAATGTGATTCCTGAACTTTTAATTTATTCAATATGATTTCTGAACTTTTTATACATGTTTAACTTAGTCCTTTCACTAAGTCGCGACATGTACTTCAACCAAAAAGGCTTACGCCTTAATCCACGGGGATCAGACGGGGGCTGGTCGGACGTCCGTGGCCGTCCATCCTTCTAATCCAGCGGACCAGATGTCCCTCGGTCACCGCTACACCTCGTGCCTTGATCATGTCTCTCGCTCTCTCTCGCTCTGAACAGGGGAGCTGACGTCATATTTGCTGTGAGATATGTGAGAATTCGAGGTTTGTGGAAGCCCCGTCGCTCGATCTTCTCAGTTCACTTCGCTCTGAGCTGCTTGTTTTGCTCTCTCCTTCTTCCGTCTTGGGTCGAATGCGAATCTTGGGGATCGCTGGGCCGTTCGTGATCCTTGACGGGTAGCTTTTTCTTGGAAACGATATGACCGACTGATGATGCGCATCGAATCTTGATTTGCGAATTCCGCTTCTGCGATCGGTTTGAGCTTTTGGCTGGTGACTCGTTGCGTTCTGGGGCTGACCCAGATGTTGATTTGCCGTGCAGTTTCGTGGGTTAGCGTGAATTTTGTAGGGATCAGGGGGTTTCGTGAGCTACCGGTTCTTGATTTTTTTAGTCTGGTTCCCTAGTGTTGTAAACTTCCCTAGTGAATTTTTAGGACGCATCTTGGACCTCTGGCGGGTCTCCGACCGGATCTTAGGTTTCACATGGTGCTAGCATTAGGTTTTAGTGTGTTTCTTTTAACTCTGTGATTGCTGTTCTTCTTTAATTGCTGTTTTCTGAGTAATTTGAGCTCGTGGTAATGAATTGTATTGCTCCTACTCTGGAGGGTTCCAAGAATAGTAGCTCGATGATCGGTTAATTTGTCAAGATTTACTGATGCCGAGTGTCGGGAGTTCTGTTGAAAGATGTTAAAATATTTATATGTATTTTTGGAGCTATTATTCATTGAAGCAAGTTCAATAAGACAGGAAGCTCGTGAGTTATTTGACTTACAATGTTGGACGCTCCTGCCATATAGGTTTGTCTTTGGGTCAACTTAGATGGATGTTGGAGCTCCCGAACGACACAGAGATAGCCAGATAGATCGGTATCCTTTGCTAATGGAACAAGTGGAGAGTAATAGTGGTCATCAGCACATAATTGATGTAGAGAGAAATGGTGACACCTCATTGACTTCATCTCGTGATGATCAGCAACGCAGGGTAGACTCGACAGAGGATGAGGATGAACTTTTGCCTAGCGTTCCAGCCCCTGCAGATCAAACTACTGTCAATTCATCACACAGATTGAACTCCACGAATTCCTCAAGCACAAGAAGAGGTGATGATTACCACCAGCATCCCAGAAGTCCATTGAGTTCTGGACTATGGATTTCAGTCGAGGTAGTTGTCACCGTGGGTCAAATTATAGCATCCATAGTGGTGTTGTCATTGTCGAGACATGAAAATCCGGAGGCTCCACTATTTGCATGGGTTGTGGGTTATGCATCTGGTTGCATGGCAACGCTGCCTGTTCTTTACTGGCGTTATCGTTCTCGCAATCGTGGTAGTGATCAGGAGTCCAATCGATACCATCGAGGGACTTCTCATAGCAGTCAATCGGAGCCTAGATCTTATACAGCCATCTCTGTCACTCAGTCCACAGATGAGGGCAATCAACATTCTGAAGAATCGGCTTCATGGAATGGCCAAATTGCAGACACTCTGAGTCCACGGTAAAGTTCAATTGGGGTTTTATTTCTTATAACGCTCATGGGTTGATGATTGCTTCTCATCTATTCAAATTGGATTTCATTTTGCACGTTGTGGGATATTATTGGCATCATTCGGAACATCCTCTTCTGTACTATCTATGCTAGATGGAATCAAGAGCTAATTTCTTTTTTGCAGACTTAGTGGACTGGTGGACCATTTCAAGATGGCCTTAGACTGTTTTTTCGCTGTATGGTTTGTTGTCGGCAACGTGTGGATTTTTGGAGGTCACTCTTCACCTTCTGATGCTCCGAAACTGTATAGGTACCGATTCATAGCGACACCGTTCTGTTCTGTCTATACATGTAATTGCTGTGCTTGATCACGTATGTGTTATGGCCCTTTTGCAGGTTATGTATAGTATTTCTAACTTTTAGCTGTATTGGGTATGCCATGCCTTTTATACTTTGTGCAACAATTTGTTGCTGCCTACCTTGCATAATGTCTGTTCTGGGCATCCGAGAAGACTTTTCGCAGACAAGAGGAGCCACTTCAGAATGCATCAGTGCTCTTCCAATCTACAAATTCAAGGTGAAAAGAGACACAAATACTGATGGTGGGGATTTTAACCCAGGAGGAAGTGAAGGTGGGGTCTTGGCTGCAGGGACAGAAAAGGAGCGTTTCTTGTCGGGGGAAGATGCAGTAAGCTTAATACCTGCTCTTCTCCATCCATTCCAATTCTGGAGTTACAGTACCCTCCTGCTGAATTTTGACCTATAATCTAGGACTAGCATTTGATTTCATGTCCTTAAAAGAAATGCCTCGCCTCACATTTGCTTATCTGTTCCTTAACATGGTGAAATTATCACGATAGCGGCAAGTGGCAAATGCTTACGATCGGCAGCTAGGCATGATAATTATCTTCAAGCAGACAAAAGTGATGTTGCCATTGTATTCGTGCAGGTTTGCTGTATTTGCTTGTCAAGATATGCAGATAACGATGAACTAAAAGAGCTACCTTGTCACCATGTCTTCCACGTCGAGTGCATTGATAAATGGCTAAAGATCAATGCTTCATGCCCCCTCTGTAAAAGTGAGATTAGCGAGAGCGGTGGGCTTTCGCAATCTGACAGAGACAGCTAGAACCAAGGACCCCGAGTTTTAAGTAGCTCAAGAATTTGCATAAGGGAGCTGCCTGTGAATGTGCCAACTGCCATGTGTTCTCATCAGACTTACGATGAAACAAGGCCTCCTCGCATAGAGGTGTATTTGACTTGGCACGGGTAGCAAGAAATTAACTTTGCAAAGAGGTTCTCTTGCGACGCATCAGATGATTCACCGTTGCTGCACTATTGAGAAGTGGATTTCTTGCTTGGGAGATCAATCCCTTCTTCTCAGGACATGTAAATGCCGGGGCGAAGTTGAATGCTCAACTCGTTTGCCGGGTCCCGTGAAATGATCTGGGAGGGTGCTGCAGTGGCAAAGGAATCTCTGTGCACAGATTGATCTATCTCAGGATAATGGTAATGATGTATATAACTTCTTCAAGAACACAACACATGGTTGTATCGAATCACATAAATCGCGATAAGCTGTAACTATTCATCGTGCCGTGTGATTCTATTTCGGAGGCCTAGAGTGGGGCATGCTTGTGATAGATGGAGGACCTCAGTGTTATTGCTGTTACAGTCACCCAAGGCTGGTTAAGAAATAACTAGCATGCAGTACTGCATGATGAAACTTATCGCAATATGCTAAAAAATTGCTGATATGCACAGAGAACAACTTAGTTTTTATTTTCCCTTCTTGTGTCGTAGAAAACAGAGTGGAATAGATTGTTTTTTTATTTACGTGTCGCAACTGACAAGTTCGAGGGCTCTCGAAAGTCTGCTTATTCTGGTGATTAAGAAATTTAAGTAATAAATAAATAAAAAAAATGTTTCAAGACATGAATAAGCAACCCACCCCCCCTCCCCAACCTTCCAAACGAACAAATTTAAATAAGTATAAAAACTGGAGACAGATGAACAATGGAATTTGGAATCTAAACGCACCGTATGCAAGAGATGAGAGGACATTGCACAGGCGCGTCGGTTTAGGATTGGATTCATAGAAAAAGGAGAATCTTTTCTATTCTTCAATTTACATATTTCGTACCATTTGTGTTATTATTCGAATTGGGATACAAAATGGGGAACAAATTGGATATAATTTATCGAACTTCTTATGTTGGTGCGAAAACAACAAAAATGGCATGCTTATCTTCGCATGAGAAACTTAAAAGCAAGAGAAACTGCCGAAGGCCTCAACAGATACTTTCTTTGAAGGTTGTAAAAAAAAAAACAATTAACTTCCTACAATCTAGGGAAATTTCCGTACCAGAAAACAGATCGAGTTCATCAAGATATATATATATGGCTCCCATGCAACAACAGTACTATCAGGAAACCATTTGTCTTCATCTATTTCATTAGTGATATGAAAAAACCAACAGAGGATAGATTAGGAGGTTCGTACCAGCAACGGTGAACATACGGGGATTACATAGAGCCAAGGCCCGAATCACTCGCTTGCATACTTTTACCCCAAAAGAAGGGAAACTTTAGTTACCTTAAACAGAAAAGCAAGAACTACAACACAACCCGGAAGGGCGCGTGTTATTGATGCAAAATCTATCATTTGTAACATCTCTCATTCCAAAATTTTTCACAGAATGCAATGTTTATACAAAGGAAAAACAATGGCTGACGTAAATAAGGAAGTACAACATATCTCCAGAAGTGAGTTTTGCAGAGGCCACTTGTTCTTAATGCTGACGAAGCATCAGTTCTCAAAAATTTCTCCTGTCGCTCCTCCTCAGGGATCTCCTATAGATTGTAAAACTAACAGTGAAAAAGGGAAACCTTAGTTGTTTAATGCATCCCCATGAAGCCCGCCACCTTCCTCATTCATGCCCACAGACACGCGAGGCTATGAAATCCAACCGGAAACGAAAGTGGAGGAAGATTATACACAATCAGCAAACGAAATTCCTAGATGAGAGGGAGGGAGGGAGGGAGGGAGGGCAGAAAAGAACAGAAGTAAATGCCAATCCAATAAAGCGACAGAATGGCCATGAACTGGAACATGATACTTCCCCAAAGGCTGAACGCACTATCTCCAAAGCCGCGGCTCGGTCGCTGTGATCTAAACTCTCAAGCATACTGATGAATGTAGAATTACATCGCCCAAATTGAGCTTTCAACTCCACTTGTTAGATAGAGAGGTCCTTAAAAGCTTCCAGTTTTCCATTTGGCGCAAGAGAATCCATGCTTATGCCGCCAGCAGGATGGTTTACTCCATTTTCAGGATTACTAGAAATCTGGTTGTACGAGGAATTAGGAACTGCAGAACTGCGACTTCCTTCAAAATATGTGGAGTACCGGAAGTATTCGGCACAACGTACTTTCCATCCTGTTATAGATGTATTGTGCTAGTGTCAGACACACCATCTCAAAAGCCAAATCAAGAATTATCCAATCATAATATCCCATCTTTGTATTCAGTAAAATGAGCTGCAGAAAGACACTATGTGCAAGCCAATAAGCAAGTAGGGATAGAAGAATCTATCCCATTGACCAGATTTAACCCTCGCTGCAACCCAATATGCATTGGGCCTCTACCATTTTGAAAGCTATTTAAATGGCAAAAACGGTAGCACTCGGTACCCTTAATTTTATTCAGTAACCAAATTTACTGACGAGATCATGATTATGTCCCCTGAAACACAGACAACAGCTCCCTCCCTCCCTCCCTCCCTCACACACGTCCCCACCCAACTGCGATCCTATACTGCTGCAACTTCAACTATTCCAACAGATATTCCACATTTTATGCATAACTTTAATTGGCAATGGTTGACGAGATCAAAACTTACTTGACGCAGCATCCAGATCAACTACTACCGAGGAGAGTAGCTTGTGAACCGCAATACAGTCCTTGAGTTTCCATTCCCCAACTGATCCAAGCGCTCCATTTCTATCCAACATAACATGGACATACTCAACAGATTATCAAGGGGATGGGAGCGTAAAACAGTCCAAAACAAATGAAATGAAGGAAGGTGGTAAAACTTCATTGTACCAAACAGTACCTCTGCACCAAGTTGTTGCTTGAATCTTCAATTAATGTCACAGCCATGCCCTTATTGCTAGGTTCCAAAACATACAGCATTTCTGCAGCAGCTGCCCTGTGCATCAAGGAATCTACACAAAACAAAAAGACCAAGCAAGCTCAGAACATGTTATAACACATGTATGAAAAATCGTCTGATGTTGATGATACCTTTATGTTTATCAAGGAATGACTCATTTGCCTCTAACAAAGACTTCTCATGCAACTGACTGCAAGATGAACAATTGTGTGTGTTAAGACTGTCATATAAAACCAATCAACAAGAAAGATGTAGCAAGTCCAAAAGAGAGGTTGTAAAGAACCTGATTTCTGGTCGCTCAGCCTCTAATACAGTCCAAATAAGTTTCTCGGAGTCCGTAGCTGGGGCAGCCATTGAACTAACTTCGTGGAAAAACCTTAACTGCAGCATAAGAAGCAGCCATCAGGAACAATACTAAGCCCTAAATGTCTCTAGCAACCGGGGAAACAACGTAGACCACCGCCAAAAAGTCGAGGAAAAAGCAGCAGCAAGACAGATTAACATACTATGACTTGCATCAAAACTTACAGACACCCAAAAGATGCGACAAATATATCAAACAGCTCAACCCAAGGAGTTCAGAGGACATATGAGAATTACGCAATATCTCAAGAGCAAACAAGAGAGAAACTAACCAGGCACCTATGTGTGTCAGGGCTTTCAGCATCCAACCTGAGCAGCTGCTTCACTGCCTGGATCCATGAAAAGAGAGCAACACATAAAGATGCATTTATTAAAACGGAGCAGAAAATTGAATTACAAGCAGCACATATTTAGGAGAAAGAAACAGAAAATTTACCAGAACGATATGATTTAGGAAGTTTCAAGAGTAAGAAGACTTAAAATTATACTAAAAGTGTCACCCCGGGTTTACCTCCTCGGCTGTCGGCCGTGCGGGGGGGGGGGGGGTTCCGGGTTACCAAAAAAAAAAAAAATTATACTAAAAGTCACTGAACAAAAGAATAAAGAAAAAGCAAAGTAACCCCAGGCAAAATTACCTGAAAAGCAAGCAAAGTTTTCCGCTTTCCCATATTTACTTCAAACGAAAGGATGTGCGTTTCCAAAGAATTGGGTGAGTTCCTTTGAAGCAGCTTCAAGTACTTTGTTGCCTCTGATAGTGGATCCTCAACCTACCACCACATATACATAAAGAAGGTTCATGCAGTCCAGACCGCAGCAGCAACTAACAATTAATAAAAAAGGAAGCATTTACAAAGAAAAAATTGGTCGCACAAAAACCTGCAATAACTTCTCTCCATGAGGATCAGGATCAACAGGCTTGACAGGCTTTTTCCCAGACTTTGAGACACTAGTACTGCTTGACTCTTCAATTTTAACTTCTGCTTCCTACAAAAAATGCAAACAATCAGGAAACTTTACAGAACAGAGCACAGAAGCACTAGAAACTATCAGTACTTTCTTAGCCCGTGCTTCTGCCTTTCTCTGTTTTTGTCTCAGCTTCTTTTTCTGAGATGGAAGCAACTTCGACATTTCGTCATCTTCTTCAGTGGCTGACTTGGAAGGAGAATCAAACAGCTTAATATAGCATCTGGACCATAAAAAGCCATTTCAAATGGAAGCCACCTAGCAGTCGACTGGTAAAAGCACAACAAGATGACAACCAACAGCTGAAAGCGAAGAGATAAAGCCAAATGCAAATGCAAATAAACACACAAAATTTATGTGAAAACATGCAACTTAACGATTGAAATTTGAGTCTCGTTAAACGTATCTAGAAACATCATAAAGTTTGACAGCAGGTGTCACAAAGACCACTTAACACCATAATGGGGTACAATACAAGATAGAAAGATGCTATACATTATTATAAAATACCTCCTATTCCTTTCAAAAAAAAAAAATTCTTAAAGATCAGCTCAAACTTCCCAGTCAATTGAGGTAAAGAAGCAACGGCAAAGTAGAAAAGCGGGATGCCCTGTCTATGCAATTATGGTTCTTCCCCGTTTTCAGCCTATAATATAAATCATTTTTGCCAAAAATATTTAACACCTCAAGTCCCTTCTTGACTGGTTCATAAGTAGATACCTAACCCCCACATGTCACCACTTTAAGTGGCCACATTTGAAAACTCCTTTTGGGGCCTTGGCCCATGTGAAGCAGGTTGAGCCAGATGGTATCAAAGCCATGTTCCAATTCTAAGATCGATGGATTATGGGTGAATCACAATGCTCAGAGTAGCTGAAACATGCAAGCATAAATCAGCAACAAGTGAACCGTTCAAAAACTCCTTGGATATGCTATCAGAAAGGTAAAACTAGGCATGAAGCATTGGTCTTAGGTAGAGAAAGAATACTTTATAATCATCAATCTTTATGCAACCAAATTTCTACTGATTTGGACCACAAAAAATCTACTAAGACAAACTGGTGCAATTTCTTATAGCATCAGAAAGCCAAGAACGAGTTGCAAC